ATTCTGTAAAGAAGACCTAAGACAGTTGACCAACTAGAAGCCTGTATTAGACAAGAATGGGACAACATTCCTATTCCTAAACTTGAGCAACTTGTCTCCTCAAACGTTTGCAGACTGTTGTAAAAAGAGGGGATGCCACACAGTGGTAAACATGGCCTTGTCCCAACTTTTTTGAGATGTGTTGATGCCATGAAATTTAAAATCAACTTATTTTCCCCTTAAAATGATACATTTCCTCAGTTTAAACATTTGATATGTCATCTATGTTGTATTCTGAATAAAATATTGAAATTTGAAACTTCCACATCATTGCATTCTGTTTTTATTCACAATTTGTACAGTGCCCCAACTTTTTTGGAATCGGGTTTGTATAATGTAACACATTCACATTTTGGGTTTTATTTACATGGTTGCAGTCAGCTGAAGCAGTGTTTGTGTACATTATATTTATAAGTGAGAGACCAATATTTTGTTCCTCATGTGGCAGACTCTTCCACCCATTCGTAGCAGTGAACAAGCTGAAAGCAGTTCCTCAGTGAGACCAAGTCGGGCTGAACAGCGGGCTCAGCAGCAGACAGGCCAGGAAAGGAGAAGACGTCCCGAGCCTCCTCGTCCTGCAATACTCCACTTAGGTGTCACTGCACGCTCTCACAGCCTCATGGATTATCAGACACATTTCCCCACTCAGTTCAACACTCATTACATCACCAGGTACAACTGGGTGCAAAACTTATTTTAAGGATTATAAATGAATAACAAGTCTGATATGATGATGGTTATTTTAATCATTATATTCTTTCAGGTCTAGGCAACCCAAGCTTTTTCAATCTGGGACAGGTGAGAGCTGCCATTGTCCTGCAGACCTGCCCCCACTACCTCTGGGTCCTGAGAGAGATGTCATCACACACGTGCTCACCTCTTTACTACAGTATGACTTACATTGTTTTATTAATACAATTCTGTTCAAAAGTTTGGGATCAGTAATTGTTTTGTTAGTTTCTTTGTTTTAAATTAATAATTTCATTGAGAAAGATGCATTAACTTTTGATGCATTGATCAAAAGTGACAGTAAAGATATTTATAATGTTACAGAAGATTGTATTTCAAATAAACGCTGTTTTTTAAAATTTTATTCCTGAAAGAACCATGAAAAAAAGCACGTTTTCCACAAAAATATTAAGCTGCAAAACTGTTCTCAACACTAATAACAAATCAGCATATTAGAATGATTTCTTAAGGATCATGTATGTGACACTGAAGACGAGTAATGATGCTGAAAATTCAGTTTTGCTATCACAGGAATAAATAAAGTTTTAAAATATTTTAAAAGGATTTCAAATTGTAATAATATTTCACAATATTGCCATTTGTACTATATTTTTTATCAAGTAAATGGAGCTTTTGTGAGTCTAAGAGACTTCTTTGAGAAACATAAAACTTCTAAATGGTTGCATATGTTTTGGCAGCTCTTCTGACTTATTCTGTCCTATTATTTATTTATTTATTCTGTCTATAAGTAAAGGTGACTTGACTTATTAAATAGAACAACCATCATTCAGTAGGAGGTCACACTGGTTTTTTATTATGTGTTCTCCTACAGGAGTCTCCTAGATGAGCCTCAGTTCCAGCAGTCTCTGGTAGAGGGCGACAATGAGAAGGTGCCATACTTCACACAGCTGCGGCCTGCTCCTGCACTCCTCACACAAACACAACCCCGCTCTGCTACAGGCAACCAGCGTCCTGTAGAAATGTCCAGTGTGTCCAGTATCAGTCCAGCAGAGACTTACACAGGAAACTGTAGCACTGCAGACAGACCCAAGAGTGAGTGTGTCCAGGAGTCTCTGAAAGAAGTCCAGGAGGAGATAAAAATGAAGGTCCAGGAGTCCATTCGCAGGTGTGCTATGACACTAGAAAGAGACAATTTAGTCACAAATCAAATGTTGGCATTTAAACAACTTATCTTCATTCTCTCTCGTTCTTTTCTGCAGGTTTCCTGAGTTTAGTGACTTAGTGGAGGACATTTTGCACAATACCTTGCAGAACCTAATGATGGAGGCTTTCTTGGGTGAGCTGGTGCTGACGACACGACCACGAATCATCGCTCTTCCACCTTCATCTTCCAGGTCACATCTACCGTTTGTGTTAACCTCACTCTATCTGTATTAGTTTTTTTTTTTACATTAATTTTTTAATAAGAAATGCACCCAAGTGGCATTGACTCTTCTTGTCTGATTAGCTGAAGTGGTATCAGCCAAGACTTTACTTTCTCATTTTATGTATGTGTAGGAAAAACAGCCTTGGCTCCAACAGACAGTCCAGGGCCGAATCGAATAACAACAGGGAGCAGATGCACCCCCTAGTGACCAGCCCAAGCCCCTACATGTCTACTCAAGCCATAGTCTCAAACCTGGAGCCCGAGCAGCAATGAGCCATTCTGCACTAGTAACTTAACACTCAGTATCTGTATGACATGTTTGAGACTGATTCGTATTAAACCGTTTTTAAAAATGACACACCTTGGTGTAAATTCTCTGAATCTGTCCAATCACCAACAGCTGGATCTTCCAGGCGCTGACGCAAAACACATTGTTTTGGTTCTAAAAGGTTCTGTGGAATGTTAAACGTCTGATAGTTCTTTGAATTGTGAAGCAATTTAGTTAGAAAGAAAGTTCCGAGATGTGGGTCACATGAAGTACAGTAGCCATTTAAAATAAGGCAGCTCCAGATGTAGTGTTTCTGTTTTATTTGTGATGACTGTCTTGACTTTGGTTAGTCCCAAGGGCATTTAAACAGTGCAGTCACATGGCCAGAGTCACTCATTATCAAGTTAAGGACACCGCCTGTGAAAAATAACTTTGGCAGCACAAATTTATGTCCTAGTGCATGGAGGCTGTTGGCTCTACTATAAGGAACAATAATAACAACTATGAGTATGATGTACTGAATTTTAGCTCATTTTAAGGGAAAAACTTTTATTCTGGCTGATGTCCTATTCATGAAACTGAGGAGAAAGATTGTATATTAAGGTAAGCGACAACATTTTTTCTTGTATAGATTATATATATAAAGACAACTGTATTATGAAAAAAGATAATAAATAACAATATTAATAGTCTAAAGCAGGGCTGGCGAACGTCGGTCCTGGAGAGCTGCAGCCCTGCAGAGTTTTGGTTCAACCCTAATCAAACACACCTGAACAAGCTAGTCAAGGTCTGAAGGGTTACAGGAAGCTATAGGCAGGTGAGTTTTAATTAGGGTTAGAGCTGAACTCTGCAGGGCTGTGGCTCTCCAGGACCAGAGTTCGCCACTCCTGGTCTAAAGTCTAAATAATAAAATCTCTAAATACAGTGTTGCCTCCGCAAGGTTCAGTATGTCCAGTGGCAGTGAGACAGCCGTGGCTCGTGAGCTGCAGGACAGCAGATCTGGACCTGAGAAGGAGGGGAGGACCTGGAGCAGTACTCAAACCTCCATCTCCACTACTGAGGGGGAATCAGATGCTGAATTACATGCATTCATCAAGATGAGGAACAAAGTGGACAAAGATACTGAGGTGAAGAACAAATACACATGCACTCTGAGATACAAGCAAGGACTGCGAAAACGAATACAAAACTAAGCAAGTGAATATATTTTACAACAGCTATTTAAGTTCATTCTTAATTATCCAGACAGGAGTCGTCTCTACCCATGATACACAGCTACCATACACATCAGTCTAGCGTGTTTTCATGGAAAAACAATGGAAAAGTAGCGCATTGGAATGGAAAATTGTGTTCTGTGTGACCCTAATGCAGTTATGCCTGAACCAACACAAAATCCATAAGTTCTTCCATACCTTCTGCTCTCTGCTTTAGAGCAGATGTGACTTTGACTGACTTTTTTGTATTGGATTTTGGCTACGAGTCAATACGTCGGAATTTAGGCCGATGTAATTTGCCAATTTTCTTAAATTGAATTCAGCGGAACTGTACCAAAAAGACAAGTGATGAACGGTTCATTTCAGACCCTAAGGTGAGGTGGTGACACCGATCTGGTGCATCACATTTGAATCATTTTAACTGTAAACCACAGTCACATGATCAGAGCAGAAATTCTTGCTCAGTATTAATCTTTGGTCCTGTTTGTTTAAATAAAATGCAATGCATGTGATTCTAACAACCTTATCTTGTTGATGTTTCCTCTATGTCAGTGTCCACTTCATACAGTTGCTTTAACTTTTCTCATGTTTGTCAGGCTGTGGACAGCTGGAAGAGCACATGGTCTATAATGCACTTACAAACTTGTTAGAGTCAATCGACGGTAACCCAATAGTGATGTTCTGCCACGCAACCTATGCCGCCATCTTCAAAGCTTTCTTTCTTTCTTGCTCTTTGACCACACTTCCACTGTTTGTGTGTGTGTGTACTTTAATAAAAAAATTATTAAAAATAGTAAATGATGTTTATCTGAAAGTGTAACAATGCAAACAGGTTTTCTGTAAGGGGTAGGTTTAGGGTTAGGGAATAGAAAATATCGTTTGGTCAGTATAAAAGTAATAGAAGTCTATGGAAAAACTATGATATCCACACTCTGAGGTGTGCTCGTAAAGATGTTTGTATATGCTGGAAGAAGATCTTGCTTCAGCTGGGTGAGGTGGACTATAACTATTTTAACATTTATTATTTTTATTTTTTAATTATTGTATAAATGTATTATTTATGTCGACGGTAACCCAATAGTGATGTTCTGCCACGCAACCTATGCCGCCATCTTCAAAGCCTTCTTTCTTTCTTGCTCTTTGACCACACTTCCACTGTTTGTGTGTGTGTGTACTTGTTAATGCTACATTGTGGGGACCAGCCTGCAGTCCCCACGAGGGAAAAAAATTATTAAAAATAGTAAATGATGTTTATCTGAAAGTGTAACAATGCAAACAGGTTTTCTGTAAGGGGTAGGTTTAGGGTTAGGGAATAGAAAATATCGTTTGGTCAGTATAAAAGTAATAGAAGTCTATGGAAAAACTATGATATCCACACTCTGAGGTGTGCTCGTAAAGATGTTTGTATATGCTGGAAGAAGATCTTGCTTCAGCTGGGTGAGGTGGACTATAACTATTTTAACATTTATTATTTTTATTTTTTAATTATTGTATAAATGTATTATTTATGTTTATATTATAGTTGTATGTTTCATTTATATACACTAGCCTATGTTTAAAATATTAAGTCAGGAAGTCTTTTTTTTAAAGAAGTGAATACTTTTATTTAGCAAGGTTGCATTAAATTGATCCAGAGTAACAGTAAATACATTTATAATTTTACAAACGATTTTTAAAAAAATATATATTTTTATATATCAAAGAATCCTGAAAAATATAAGTTTCCACAAAAATATTCAGTAGCACAACTAAGAAATGTTTATAAAATAAAATGTTTCTTAAGCAGCAAATCAGCATATTCGAATAATTTCTGAAGGATCATGTGACAGCGATGACTGAAGCTTGACCATCACAATCAAATTACATTTGAAAATATATCAAAATAGAAAAACTTCACTGAATTTGTAATAATATTTCTTACCGCCTTACCACCCCAAACTTCTGAACGGTAGTGTATTTATTTTTACATATTTTTTTAATTTATACTATATTTGCCCTCTATTTTTTCATATATATCTGTCTTGCGGAATTTTCTTTTTTCTTCCTTTTCCAGCTCTTGTGAGGGCTTACAAGAACAATGCTCATTATGTCTATAAAAATGTCAATTATTTATGCTTAAATCTACTGTGCAATGCAGAATGCCAGTTAACATAGTAATAGCATACCAAGTCAAATGTGACCCTTATTTGCCAATCTAATGGCAGTGGAGTGTGAGCATGTCTTTGTGTCTGAGGAAGCGCAGTCATGTCAATGTATATGTTGTTGATCCAGGTTACTTTGCGGAATTTTCTTTTTTCTTCCTTTTCCAGCTCTTGTGAGGGCTTACAAGAACAATGCTCATTATGTCTATAAAAATGTCAATTATTTATGCTTAAATCTACTGTGCAATGCAGAATGCCAGTTAACAGTAATAGCATACCAAGTCAAATGTGACCCTTATTTGCCAATCTAATGGCAGTGGAGTGTGAGCATGTCTTTGTGTCTGAGGAAGCGCAGTCATGTCAATGTATATGTTGTTGATCCAGGTTACCAGAAGGAGGCAGATTCCTTACTGACAGTGAACAGACAGACGGTTCTGAGTGACTGGGAGAGGGGCCCGAGTCAACATGCTGTTCAGGAGGCCCAGTAACTGTAGCGGTGCCCCTGGGTAAGTGCATTAATTGTGGTGTAGACACTCTCTAAATCTCACTAGTATCACTGTTATTTACATAAAACTCAAGAGACTTTTATGCTGGTCCCCGTAGGTAGATGGCAGTCTAAACGATTCCGAAATAAGAATTACTGAATGCACTTTTAATAAATAATATAATTTAATCTCAATAATTGAATCTAACCTAACCTACAGGTTTTACTTTATTCTCCGTTAGCCTACATGTTAATGTGAATAGAATATCCCCTTTTGTGATTTTATGTACTTCATCAGATTAGCCAGCAGAGGTCAGTCTAACCTATTTGAAAGTACAGTTTTTTCCCTTTTAGCAGTAGTCCAGCATGAGCTCACTAAACATCTAAAGACATGACATCCCATGATGAAGATTGACTACAGTGTATTTCGTAACTCTCTGCTTGATGCCATGCATGTCTGTTTAATATCAGATAATAAGTGAGTGTGGTCATAGTTTCAGCTGTGCACGTTGACCTATATATTGTTGTCTCCTGGGCCTGATCTGAGGGGCCAGAAACAGATGTAGAGCAAAGAAAGAGAGAGAGAGTTTGAGAAAGCAGTGTAAGGAGGAGGAGGGGGCTTTATTATAAATCTTCTGAGTTTTCAAGCTTGGCTCTCTCTTATTGCTGAGGGCCAACAGAAACACCTTGTTCTTATTATATGTGTGTGTGTGTGTGTGTGTGTGTGTGTGTGTGTGTGTGTGTGTGTGTGTGTGTGTGTGAGTGTGTGTGTGTGTGAGGGGCCAGAAACAGATGTGGAGCAAAGAAAGAGAGAGAGAGTTTGAGAAAGCAGTGTAAGGAGGAGGAGGGGGCTTTATTATAAATCTTCTGAGTTTTCAAGCTTGGCTCTCTCTTATTGCTGAGGGCCAACAGAAACACCTTGTTCTTATTATATGTGTGTGTGTGTGTGTGTGTGTGTGTGTGTGTGTGTGTGTGTGTGTGTGTGTGTATGTGTGTGTGTGTGTCTGTTCATGTCAGTGTGATAGTTCTGGCTTTGTTGTCACGTCCCTCTAGCAATTGCTGGAAATATTCATCCATGACCAAAGTTTACATCATCTCGGGGTCTGTCTATGAAAGATGATCTGCCCCCATTCACCTCGCAGACGGAGGAAAATAGGAGCATTTTATCTTTATGAAGGATATGTGATTGTATTTCATAATGACTATAATTGCCACTTGAGTCCAACTTCATATCAGCTCTACAACTGGGTCAGAGTAGAGTCCTATCATATAGCAGTGTCTGTCCTTTTTCTTTTCTTTCTTCAGTCATTTCCCACTCTTTCATTCACTCTTTATTAACTTTCTTCCCTTTCAACTCCTGCCACCCTTTCTTTAGTGCTTTCTACTTCTCTTTCCACTATCTCCAGCTGTGTTGCTCAAGTTACTACGGCTGTATCTTCGAGTTGCACAAGAAATCTTATACTTTTTCCAGTTGTCTAGATCCTGTTGGATTTAATACATGCCAACAGATCAAATTTTTAGATTTTTTGATTTCAGTTTCAGTTATTTTAGAAGTACAACTTAAAGTGATTTCAGTTATTTTCCAAGGCAACATTTGTAATTTTAGTTTTTAGAAATTTTAATTTATTATTTATATTTTATTTTTTCAGCTTTATTTTAATTAATGAAAATGTGTTTAAATCTTGTTAGTTTTTGTTTTAGCCAACTCTTTATTACTTTAAGTCTTTATTTTCTATTTGGAAAATGAAAAGAAATTACCAACTGATTTGAAAAAAAAGAAAGGAAAAGGAGAAAAAAATTTTTTTGCACATAAAATAAAGAAAAAAATATTTTAAAAGTTTAAAATATTGAACCTTCAATTGAACAGTTAAGTGATGCATTTGTTATGCAGCAACAACCCAGTCTCATTGAAATTATGCGGAATTATTGCAAAAATGAAATAACTTTCAGGGCGAAGTAATGTTTGATTATGTTTCACTTCCTTACTGGTCCTAAAATTAGACTCAATAAAGACAGCCATAATGGAGTGTATGCATCTCTGGCCTTAGATTTTGACATTACCCCATTCCCGCATCTCACACACCACGGGGCATGACCTATGGGTGTTATTTGCTGAAGCATGTAGCATATACTAACATCAAAACCATGTAGTCTCACAGACTAACTCTGGGAAACATTATTTACTTACAGGAAACCAAAATGTTCCATTACTAACATAGTTTACCACAGTCTTAACACTCCTTATTATGTCCAGTACTAAAAAAAAGTGCCTGATTGATCTAATGATCATACTGAAACTGAAATACTGAACAGTGAAAAATTATGTCATGTACAGGCAATGTCAAATCTCCCAATTATGGCAGAAGCACCTACAATCAACAGCAAAGCCTTAACATAATTTGTTTGTTAATGCCACTTAGTTTGATATTATGTGTAACACCACAAGATTCATACATTAAGTATGACTTAGGTATCCTGTCCAAAAGTATTAAAATATTTTTGTGGCCACTGTATATGTGTATAATACCAATATGTGCCTATGCAAGTGCGTTTAACAGATGATGGGGGATGTGAGAATGGTTTTCTCATCATAAGAACATTTGGCAAAGAGAGAGGCCAGACCTGTCTCTCTCTCTCTGCTCCGCTACCCTGTGAGGTAAATAGACCTGGAACCAGACATCTCTCCCTTTTCTCAATAATATGGCTCTCAGAGATCAACTAGAGTGGTATAGTAGGTTAGTTAACAACGTAAGTAGAAAATACAGAACTTTCAGATGAGCAGACAGAGCAGGAACCACTGAGCAGCTGAACCCTAATGAAATGATTTAGTGGGACAATTAAAAGTAATTTTCCCACTATTAGGCCTAATTTTCCATTTTAGTAACTAGTTGCATCAATGTCTAATGATTTGATGATTTTCTTTTAAAATTTTTTTAATGAATATGAGCTTCTTTTTCTTCTTGCCAACACGTCGTTTCTTATTTTTTGCACGTTAAAGTTTTGTTTTATATTTTAGAATATATACCATATCTTTAATTTCAGGTTTGTGTTGAACATTTACATTGGGGGTTTTAGTGATGCATAGGTAATTCTAAGTTTAAATCTAAACTATTGTTATCATTTTATTACCAATGAAATGTCAGAAGACACAACAGTAGAGTATGAGGTTCCTCAAGGCTCTGTTTTAAGACCAGTGCTGTTTTCCTGTACATTTGAGCAATTAGTAAAAAAGAAACCAAGTTTCAAACATCTGTATCTCATCCCATATGGATAACTGTGCTGTACTAAGACATCATGCCTTTGTGTCCTCATTTGTTTGGTATTTTATATACATATTACCATAACTGTCAGACAACTTAAATGAATAAAACTCTATATAGATGTGACTAGAGTGTGCAGTGGAGAGAGAGATGCATACTGCCCAGAGCTTTCCTTAGGTTGCCGTATATTTGCTTTTTCACTGTATCTACTATTTATTTTCTTTCTTTTTTCATGTTGAATTTGGTTCTAAAGGAGAATAAGAATTTAATATATGATCCTTGCTTCTGCTCTGAGGGGACTATACCATGTTTCCTTATTGAGGGAATGCAGCCTGTGGCTTAAAGCCATCAATGATTGGACAATGGCCTCTTATTGGCTAACATATGTGGTGCAGTTAAATAAACGGTTGTCAGTCCTTTTGAAAGAACAGCACAGCTTCTTTACTGTCCTCCTCTTGAGGCCCCAGCATACCACAGCTCTCTATTCTCATAAAAGAACAGAAAAATTACATTTTTGCATCACAGTGAAAAAAGGAACATGTAGCCCCAGGCATGTTGGATAACATACTTCTTCAGAAGGCAAAGGGTGAAAGGTCACTGTAGGTAAGTAAAAATGCAGCTTATCACATGTGTAGGCTAAGTCATTCCAAAATACAGCTTATTTTCCCCAGTCTGCTGTCTTTAATGAACTCTTAATGTCACTTCTATTGTATACTTCTATTGTCTTTGAAATACAGTTAAAGTGTACTTTGCAATGTAGCATTATAATGCAAGCAGTCATAGTAACCTAAATATAATTTATTGTAATTTATGTTGAAACTTTTGTAATGCATTTAAATATATTTGTAATATGCTTTAAAAGCATAACAAAAATGATTATTAAAATAATGATTTAGTGCTTTATTGTTTTTTCTTTCTTTTTTCATGTTGAATTTGGTTCTAAAGGAGAATAAGAATTTAATATATGATCCTTGCTTCTGCTCTGAGGGGACTATACCATGTTTCCTTATTGAGGGAATGCAGCCTGTGTCTTAAAGCCATCAATGATTGGACAATGGCCTCTTATTGGCTAACATATGTGGTGCAGTTAAATAAACGGTTGTCAGTCCTTTTGAAAGAACAGCACAGCTTCTTTACTGTCCTCCTCTTGAGGCCCCAGCATACCACAGCTCTCTATTCTCATAAAAGAACAGAAAAATTACATTTTTGCATCACAGTGAAAAAAGGAACATGTAGCCCCAGGCATGTTGGATAACATACTTCTTCAGAAGGCAAAGGGTGAAAGGTCACTGTAGGTAAGTAAAAATGCAGCTTATCACATGTGTAGGCTAAGTCATTCCAAAATACAGCTTATTTTCCCCAGTCTGCTGTCTTTAATGAACTCTTAATGTCACTTCTATTGTATACTTCTATTGTCTTTGAAATACAGTTAAAGTGTACTTTGCAATGTAGCATTATAATGCAAGCAGTCATAGTAACCTAAATATAATTTATTGTAATTTATGTTGAAACTTTTGTAATGCATTTAAATATATTTGTAATATGCTTTAAAAGCATAACAAAAATGATTATTAAAATAATGATTTAGTGCTTTATTGTTTACAACAATTAATTACTTTTTCACACACAGCTTTACATTTGAAGGGTATGATACTTGACAGTAATGCACTCCAATGGCCCAGTCCATTGTCATCGCATAGACATTTGTTTGAAGGTATTTTGTCTGGGGACATAAATCATGTTAAATCTACAATCTGCTTTG